ACTCACCTAAATTCACAAACTGTCTTGACAAAGCATCTGCCACAACATTAGTACGCCACAACATTAGTACGCCCTTTTTGTATTGGATTGTGTAATCTAAACCCAATAGTTTGGTCAACTATTTCTTCGGAATTGTTGTTGTAAGCTTTTTTTCTAACCAATACTTCAAAGGTTCATGGTTTGTTTTAATGATAGATGGACCACACTCTATAAAATATCGTCATTGCAAGACTGCCAAGAGAATGGCAAGATATTCCTTCTCGTAGATAGAAAGATCCATGTTTTTAGGACTTAGAGCTTTGTTGTAAGCCAAGGGACGACCTCCTTGAGACAAAACAACCCTTATACCTTCTCAGCTTGCATATGTTTTCAAACATAATTCTTTGGTGAAATCAAGAAGAGCCAAAACCGGAGCCTTACACATTACTTCCTTTAATTGAGTAAAAGATGCTAATGCTTCAAGAGTCTACTTAAAACCCTCTTTTCTCAGCATCATTATAAGTGGACGGCTAATCTCACCATAACCTTTGATGAATCATCTATAATATCCTGTCAGCCCTAAGAAACCCTTGAGAGACTTTAAATTTTGAGGAAATGGCTAATTTTTCATGGCATCAATTTTTAATGGATCAGTTGAGACACCTTGAGCGTTAATAATGTGGCCTAAATATTCTAATTATGGTTGTCCATAGTAGCATTTACTTCTCTTGGCATAAAGTTGATTTTGTGTCAATATTTCTAAAACTAGTATTAAGTGTGTTGTATGAGTAGATAGTGTAGTGTTGTACACTAATATATCATCAAAAAAACACTAGAACAAGCTTTCAAAAATAGGGAGTGAACAACTCATTCATAAGATATTGGAATGTAGCAGGGGCATTTGTAAGACCAAAGGACATTACCTTAAACTCGAAATATCCATGATGAGTGCGAAATGCAGTTTTGTAGATGTCTTCAGGTTGAATTTGAATTTGCCAATATCCACAGCTTACGTCCAATTTAGAAAAGTAAGTTGCACCATGTAATTCATCTAATAAGTCTTCCACCAACGGTATTGGGAATTTATTCTTCACTGTCTGACTATTTAACTGCCTATAATCCACGCAAAATCACCAAAAACTATCCTTTTTTTAACAAGTAAGCAAGTTGAGGCAAAAGGGCTCTTTCTTGGTTGAATTATAGAAGCTGATAGCATTTCAGAAATCTGCCTTTTCACCTTTGCTTTTTTATGGTGTGGAAACCTATAAGGCCTCAAATTGATCGGGGTTGCACCAGACTTAAAGGTGATTGTATAATCATGAATTCGTTTGGGAAGCATCCCTGTAGGTTCCTCAAAAACTCCTACAAATTATGGTAACAGTGGTTGTAACTCTCTAGGTACTTGTTGCTAACAATACTCCATACTCAACAAATAAATCTCTCCCAATAAATCTAGATCCTTAGCAGTGATCTTTTGCATTTTGTCACTAGATACTGTTTTCATAAGGAAGGGTGTTTGATGACCCTGAATGGATAATTATTATCCATCCTACTCAAAAGTGATAATCATGGCATTAAAATCCATAAAAATAGGTTGTATTTCCACATCCAATCGACCCCGAAGACCATATCACTACCTCCTAGATTTAAGACCCGAAAATCATGAAAAAATTGGTGGCCTTGCATAATCCAGCACAATTGATTGCTTTTGACTGAACTATAAAGTTTCTCTCTGTTATCTACTATAATAGCTGGTAGTTGAGTTAAAACTAACTCAATATCTACTTTAGCCTATTTAGGAGTGATAAAACTATGTGTGCTGCCAATGACAATAAGGACATTTAGAGGTTTGCCCCTGATCCATCCTTGAATTCTAATTATTGTATAACCAATGCTACCTATGAGAGCATTGACTGAAATTTCCAGATTCTCATCTTTATCATTCGAATCCCGTAAAACTTCTTCTGTTATGATTGGTTCTTCGGGGCTATCATTTTCTTCCATTGCATTCAATTGTCGCAATTTGCATTGGTGGCTTTGTTGAATTTTTTCACCACATTTATAGCACAAATTGTTCAATCTGTGATACTCTAACAAACTGGTTTTGTTTTAAGGGTTTGAAATTACTTTCTGCCTCCTTTGAATTGGAGCAGATTTAACAAAGTTGATTTGGGTGGGATAAGGTGAGATTCTAAAGTTTGTATCTGTCTTTTGCTTTCAAACTCAATTAAGATTTCATATAATTTAGCTTGCCTACAAGCTTCAGCTACTCCTTTAAGATTGAGAACTTTGACCTTGTGTTTCAAAACTTCCTTTAGCCCACTTATGAAAATGGACACGAAAAATTCCTCCCCCTATGTTGGATTCTGCATTAAAATGAAAGGTTTCAGCACTTCGAACCTCACTTGATACTCTTCCACTGTTCCTTTTTGTGTTTACTTACTAAATTCTTCTATGACATCTAAATACTGCATATCATTAAATCGATGACACAAATCTGCTTCGAACTCGTGCCAATATACTCGATTTGTTTGCGTAATATGACCATCAAACCAGGATTTAGTCTTTCCTTCTAAATACATCGCAGCTATCTCAACTTTTTGTTCCTCATGAATCCCAAAGAGATGAAAAAACTTATGACATTTTTGTACACATTCCCTTGGGTTCGTTCCATCAAAAAAAATTAATTCTACTTAGGCCTATACAACATAAATTCAGCATTTCCCACTGCCCCTCCTTGAACTATTTTGGCCTCATTACTATCCCCTGTTTGATTTTCCACCCTAATATTCGATTAATCCATCTGAGATTTATAAGGTTTAGATTTGAGGATACCTGTTTCGTGTATGTTGTAAGAGAATCTGGACTTATCATTTATCATTGTCACCATCACCAGTTTCTTTCCATCAACTTTTGTTGGAGTGAGTGTAGGAATCTGCTCCTTTTCTGAGCTCGCCATATCTTGCTCATCATTCCTCCCCGTTAAGATTCATAGGACTTGTTCTATATAAGCTTGATTGATTGTCATTTTTTATTCCAGATTGTTTAGACGTTTGTTTTGCTCCTCCCACCACTTTGGAGGTTCTGTTTCATCAGTGGCTTGTTCCACTTTCTTGGACATATCTTTAATCTGTTGTTGAATGGCAGTAAGCTCAGTCGACTCTGCCATGGATTGAGTCTTTTTTTTTGTTTTCTCAATTTGCTGCAATATCAGGAAATTAGGCTCTGATGCCACTTTGTTATGAATTGTGAGAAATAGAGAAGTTGAGATCAAATAAATAAAAAGATTTAAAAGAGAAAAAGAGGAATTACAGAAAATGAATTTTTCATTCATTCATCAGATAAGTTTTTTTTCTATAATACATTATTTTATTTTCAATACAATAAATTATAGCCACTCTTTTAATGACAACTCGACAATGTAGTAACTAACTCTAACAACTTTCCTTACAGATGACAGCTAAAGTATTTTCTCCTGTGGACTGCTGGCTGGATCCACTTCTGAGCCCATGTTCCTTGTCTCACTCAGTTTCCATTCTTCCCTACGTGTATCCATTTCCAGGTGATTATCTTCTGCCTTAGCATTAGGAATTGAAATCCAATTCCCCAATTCCTCTTTTCACAATCCATAATCTCTCTTTCATTTCCCCCAATTCTCTCGCTTCGATTTTGAACTCCTCATCTTCCTCTTCTCTTTCGTTCGTTACAATTAGTTTCACTCTTAATGGTGATTAGTTGTTATTTATTTCTGTGCCTTTGATTTACAGCTTCGACCAGGCTATGTTTTAATATTGAAGCTGGGAAACAAGCTCTGAGGAACATAAAATCCCTGGCTTTGTTTTCAAATATCGAAGTGAACCCACGACCTGACGAGAAGAATGAGGGAGGCATCATTGTTGAGATAAAGCTCAAAGAACTGGATCAAAAATCAGCTGAAGTCTGTACAGAGTGGAGTATTGTACCTGGACGTGGGGGGCGTCCCACATTGGTATGTAAATATTTTTATATTTTCTATACTCTGCGGTTCTTCATGTAGACGATAAGATATTGTGGGCTTGTGGCTTAAACTTGAAAGCCCTGTCTTATTTTGTGGCATACTATGATTTTGCTTTCTGTTCAGGCTTCATTTCAACCTGGTGGAACTGTCTCTTTTGAGCACCGAAATCTCAAAGGTCTTAACAGATCAATTCTTGGTTCATTGACCACCAGTAACTTTTTGAATCCTCAGGTGATTTTTCCTGAACATGCATGTTGTGCGCTTCAATAGTCGGAAACTAAGCCCAGTTTTCACTGGTGGTCCTGGGGTTGATGAAGTTCGACAGAGCTGGTCTTAAAGCTAACATCACCAAGGTAATCTGCTAAATTTATGATAGTTCCTGAAGTGATTTTGGATTTTATGTACCGTTGAATCAATTGTAATTGTAATTGACATACCTCTGGTAGAATTTCACCCATCAAAGTAAATTCACTTATGGACTTGTGATGGAAGAGATAACAACCCGAGATGAAAGCAGTCATATTGCTCCAAACGGTCAGAGTGCTGCCAAGTGGTGGCATCAGCATGGATGGACCTCCGACCACTCTCAGTGGTACTGGTGTTGATCAAATGGCATTTCTACAGGCAAATATCACTCGTGATAATACTAAGTTCGTAAATGGAGCTATAATTGGCGAGAGGAATGTGTTTCAGGTTAGCCCATATATTTACACTGTAAATCTTTCGAGACAACTAGGTAGTCTGTCTTGGCTGATACTGTTCAATATTGGGAGTTAGGTGACAGATTTGATAGCATAAAATTTGCTTGAAACATGCTGGTAAATGGGTCTTAATATAAGATTTATTCTAAGATAGGTAAGAAAGCTGTTTCTCATCTTTCTAGCAATTTTAGCCTTTCCTTATTGAATAACCAAAATTAAGTGCTTCGGATTTAGAATAATTGCCCTCATTATTGGGTATTTGAACATCTCGTTTGTTCTCTGAAATATTACAAGTCTCAGCTTACCCAGAGATTCTCTGTTATTGTCAACTATTTCCTACCTTTAGTAGCAAAAGTGGTTCATTCATAAATATATTTGGAGCTCACTTACAATATTGTTTTCTAGCTTACTTCTGGCATTTATTTACTGGATTGAGGTGGACCAAGGACTTGGCATTGGCAGCAAGTTCCCATTCTTTAACCGCCACCAATTGACACTTACTAGATTTCTGCAACTAAAGTAAGTGGATGAAGGTGCTGATAAACCCCCACCACCTGTTCTAGTCCTTCAATGCCGTTTTGGAGGTTGTGTGGATGATCTTCCAAGTTATGACGCCTTTACTTGGGGGGGCCTATTCTGTGAGAGGTTATAACATGGGTGAATTAGGTGCAGCCAGAAACATTCTTGAGGTAATATTGCTTCCTAATATTTTCTTAACTTTTAGTTCATCTTTTATGTTGTATTTCATGGGAAGTGCGAGCTAAAGAGGAGGGTTCTGATAACAGAAAAAGTGCCGGAGAGATTGTTTTTCCTGAAATGCCTAAATTCATCTGAAATTGTTTTTCCTGATGCTACATGCAGCTTGGAGCCGAGATTAGAGTACCTGTGAGAAATACACATGTTTATGCATTGCAGAGCATGGGAATGATCTAGGAAGTTCAAAGGATGTAAAAGGGTACCCAACTAAGGTATACAGACGAATAGATCACGGTTCATCATATGGCGTTGGTGTCAAGCTAGGTCAAGTGAGAGCTGAGTATGCTGTTGACCATAACACCGGAACTGGTGCTGTGTTCTTCAGATTCGGAGAAAGATATTAAAATGATATTTAGGGTCAAATTGTGCTTCGAGATGAGCAGAACTAGGTCTAGGTATACCATTTAGTTGACTTTCTTGTTTGAAATAATAGCTTCTAGTTGCGTTATGTTCTCATCCTGCTATGTAAAAGATGAGAGATGACAAGGAAAAATTTGGTTCTTGATTTATTCTTTCCGTAATTCTTTCTGCAGCTCCTTGGTGTGGCATCACGGACCAAGTTTTTTCTCTATCAGGCAATAGGGTGTGCGCATTTGATCAGATTTGGGAACTCTTAATCTTTTCAAGTAATAAACAAGTCATTAGTCCAAAATGCCGCTTCCCCTTTTTTCTGTTGTTTGCCTCAGCTTGTTCATCTATGTTGAGCTGTTTCTTCATAAATTCCTGGCCAATAGCATGCCAAGGCTAAATTCAAGAAGTTAAGCAAGAGATATCATGGAAGCGTGAATTTGTAATCCCGTGATTTACTGTAAACTAAATTTTGAATCATATATTGGAACTGCCAAGAACATTTGGCTTTTTTCAATATAAACAAATTGTTTGTGTCTAAGACTTGAAAAAGGATACACCGTAATGATATATCGTTATCAGTGGTTCAAAAAGCTTGTCATCTTTGACGGTAAGAAATAAAACGCAAAATTCAAAAATACACTCTCCATTAATCATTATCCATATTTTTACTTCTATCTTTTCTTTTGTACTAGAGACCAACAATGCCGGCCATAGCTTCAATTTCAAACATTTGTCTGTTCAAAGCCTTCTCTTTGTCCTCTGCTCGCTCTGTTAAAGATCAAACCTTGTTTCAGAGATGTAACTTTCCAGTAATACGTGAGCCGAGGCAACAAATTCCGTTAATAAATGACTGTATGGTGTTTGCTGAAATGCCTGAAAGAACTGGTATTGGTGTACCAACATATTTTCACGGAGCTGGAACCTGGGAAGATGGTATTTTTGTTAGAAGTTATCTGGTCACTAATCAATTGATTAGAATTTTAAAGTTCTGTAGTGATGAAGGATGTGGACCTTGGAAGGAGTTACCATGGTTTGATTGCAAAGATTGGGCTTTGTTGGGGATGAATTTGTAAATACTAGCCTTATCAATATGTATTCTAAAAGTGGAGATATAGATAGTGCCGTTATGGTATTTAATCAGATGCCTCATCTAGATGTTGCTTCATGCAATTGCTTGATCTCCGGTTATGCTAATTGGGGGTTATTTGATGAAGTTTTAGGTTCTTCATGGAGTATGAAAGCTTGGGTATCAAGCCGAATTCTTATACATACTCAACTATGCTAGCAATTTGCAGAATCCTCTCGGCTCTCGAAGAAGGTAAACAGCTTCATGCCCAAGTTCTGAAGATGCAGTGTTTATCAGAAACAGCTGTGAGTAATGCACTTTTGGCAATGTATTGCAAGTGTGAGGCCATGGCAGATGCCGAATCAGTGTTTGAACGGATTCCGCAAAGGAATATCATTTCATGGACAACAATCATTAATGGATTGTACCAACATGAGGTTTTTGAAAAAGCTATGAGGCAGTTCTACTTGATGAGGGAGAGTGGGATTGAACCAAATGAATACACATTTACAATTGCTCTTGCATCTTGTGGAAGTATGAAGAATGTGGATAACGGACGTTTACTTCATGCTTTAGTGATTAGGAAAGGGATGGCTTTGGGTGAATTTGTAGGGACTGCAATCGTAGATATGTACTCTGAGCTCGGATTAACAGATGACCCCAAAAAACAGTTCAAAGAGATGGGAAATGTGGCCTCTAAAGTATCAAGGAATGCGCTAATAAAAGGGTTAGTTCAGAATGAGAACAAATGAGGCTTTGGATGTTTTAGTGAAATGGTAAGAAAAGATTCTGTATGTGATGAATTTACCTTTTCCTTCATTTTGAGAGCCTGTGCTTCCTTGCGACCATTCACAAGTTGCCAACAGATACATGCTTCTATAGCCAAAGCTAACTTAGACACAAACACGCATGTTGGAAGCTCATTGATAGAAGCTTATACCGGATCTGGAAGTGTAGAAGATGCATAGAAGGTATTCAGTCGTATTTCAGCACCAGATGTTGTATCTTGGAACTCGATGATCAAAGCTTACTCGCAGAACGGCAATCCAAGAAGGGCGATGTCACTATTTAGGAGGATGATTATGAAAGGATTTAGACCTATAGGTTCTACTTTCCTTGCTGTTCTTTCTGAATGTAGCCACTCTGGCAAAATCCAAGATGGCTACGAAATATTTCAATCAATGATAAGAGAGTTTGGTATCTTACCAGAACAAGCACATTATAGTTGCATGGTGGACTTACTAGGAAGATCTGGACAAATAGAAAAGGCACTAGATTTCATAAGCAACATGCCCATCAAGCTGACAGCTTCGATATGTAGACCTCTACTTGCTGCTTGACGGTGCCACAACAATCTCGAAGTTGCAGAATTTGTCGCAAAGCGCATACTAGCTATGGACCCAAATGATGCAACTGTGTACGTCACCCTCTCAAATATGTATACTGAAGCAGGACTACTGGAAAATGCAGAAAACCAGAGAAAGCTGATGACACTGAAGAAGGTTACAAAAGAACCAGGATGCAGTTGGATAGAAGTGAACAACAAGATACACAAGTTCTTTTCGCACAATAGAACTCACCCGAATCAGAAAAAATATACGATAAGTTGAAGCAAGTAACGGTGCTAATAAAAGGCACTGCATATTCTGCTAATGCAGATCCACTGCAGGTGAAGGAAGATTCTTGTTTATACCACAGTGAAAAACTTGCAGTTTGCTTTGGCCTTATAAGCTTGCCAGCAGGAAGGCCAGTTAGACTTTTCAAGAACCTCAGAGTTTGCACTGTTTGTCATATGTTTATGAAGTTTGCATCTATGGTTACAGACAGAGTTATAGTACTAAGTGACAATTATAGATTCCATCATTTCAACAGAGGCTTTTGTTCATGTGGAGATTACTGGTAATGGAAACTTCCTTACTGCAATGGCATTGCTTCACTGTATGCTTCTACTTCAGTTCATCCAAGTCAGAGTGCTATCATCAAGATCGAACGGCTCATACCCATTCGATTATGCATGCTATGCGGTGGGTCCCACATGTCAAAGTAAGCATAGTCAATGTCTTAGATTGTCTGATCATTTTACAATAGTTTTGACCTTTTGAGACAATATTACCCACGTGGGCCCCAATGGAACTACATGGTTAATAGCGCCCTTAGAACACAGGTGAACAGAGTCCACTTCTAAGTAAAACGCATTTGTGCTTTTACCACCTTTACGGGATATCAATGGCAAAGAATTTTCTTCTGGACCCAGATGGCCCATCATGGCCTATGTGCAGACGCTCCGATGGAACTTTTCGAAGAAGAACCGGCTGGAAAAGGTAAAAATGACCAAGAAACGTTGAACAGTGGTAGCCTTGTTTTTGGTTGAACGATGCAGACAGTTGGATGATCTTCCAAATATTTGGATAAGTGCAAAGATGCTTTTGTTATCAACATGTGATCCTTTTGTTATCCTTGGCTAGCACCAAGTTGTATAACCGGTGAACCATAACCCTTATGGCAAAGAAAAGCTAGCTTTCCCAAAGCAATGATAGCGATCCATGCCCACTAGCCCCACAATTCATAACTTGGTATGATTTCTAAGGAAGTGCCCAGAAAACTGTTAAGTTTCCAGATTCAAATATCACTATGTATGAATTTAATTCAAATTTCTTTTGAGTTAATTATTCGATTCAGTGTAAGGATCGATTCTGAGTAAACTAAATTAAATTAGCATGATACAGTTCAATTTCCACCAAAAGGAAGTTTCCTTTGGTTACAAAAATTAAGACTTTTCAACCAAAACCAGATTATATTTTTATAACTAACAGTCAACTAAAATCAATAAAGGCCGAACATTCGTATTACAAAGAAATGATAGAAGAAAAAACAGACCTTCGAACAAAAATTGAACTATAGATGATGGGGATACGACCCAACTGACCCATATTTATTCCCACCAGACCAATCTCTCCCCTGCAGCATCCCATACGAATTCACTTGATATCCATTCTGATGATGATTCCCTCCTTGATTAACAGGCCTGTAAATCGGCACCGGAATCATAGGTGCCCCATAAGGCATCGGTATAGCCATTCCGAAACGCCCGTTACTATTCACACTACCACTTCCTCCTCCTTTCACACCGGTTCCATTCTCATGGATACTCTGCGGCACCGGCATTGAAGCAAACAGCTGATCTGAAGCCGATGGGCCTTCGTTGCTTAGTCCTTGCATTCTTTTCAAGTAAAGCCGATACTTTTGCAAATGACTGGCGACGTTCTCGCGGGTCAAGCCTTCGACGTTCATTAACTGCATGATTGTTTTGGGAACCGCGTTTTTAATGCCTAAATGAGCCACTACGTCGACGAATCTCTTATGCAATTGCGGTGTCCACACTAAGCGGGATCGTTTCGATGTCTTCCCTAATGGATCGTCCGAGTTCTCCGTCGTCCTAACTGCTGAATTCGCCTCCTCGGTACTATCCATCTTCCTCATTTTCTTAGTTTCCGATCCGGAACCCGAACCCGAGCCGTCCCCTTCCTGTTCAACTACCATCGGGTCATTAAAAGAAATGAAATTGTTATTATTGCTATTAGTGGTGGAAGAGTGGGCTCCAGTGGAGCAGAGGGAGGAGAAGGTGTCCTGTGAAGCGCGGTTGACGTCAATAGCAGTACGACAAAGCTCCGGCGAGATGCTGAAAGCGGAGGCGAGTTCCGGTGCTATTAAGGATTGAGATAACGGAATTAAATCATCGCAGTTAGGTAATCCCATCTCCCATTCAAGAACTCTACCGTTAACATTATCTTCATCATCAACGATGGCGCCGGTGGCGGTTGCAGTGGCTTCATCGTTTCGGCCGTTAGCTTCAAATTCTTCTCCCATATTATTTATCAGCTTTTGGCCTTTAAATTATAATTTTTTTAAGTCTTTTAGAATTATTTGTCGAATTTTATTTGGATCGGTAAGAAAAGGGTGGAAACTATAGAGATATATTCAGATATTTGTGAGAAAATCGGTGGCTGCTTGGCAGGAAGCGACAAAAGATAGGGCAAAGAAAGGTGCACTGTCTGGTTTCCAGATTGGTCTAGTGGTGGGACGACTTAGCCGGATATATTTGATCTGTTAGATATCCTAATAAATATCAAAATCAGGATTCTCCAATTATATTCCGCCACGTAAGTGATTTTGGGTAGCAAAAATGAAGTCGGTCGAGCTAGATTGGCGGTTGCGGGGGATTTTATTACGGAAACGGACATGGTTGGTATGGAACAGAAGTGGCCAAGTCAGCAAAGTAGGTGCACTTTTAAGGGTATTTTGGGGAACGTGCGAAATGAAAGTTTTTACCTTTGTTTCGTTTTTGAAAAATAAAAAGCGTAGGAGAAGAGAATGATGGTGAACGAGGACATTCTTAATATACGATTAATAAAAATTTTATTAAAATGTTAATGTTTTTTTTTTGTAAAATGTTATATAAAATATTATTTTTTATTGTAAATATTAATTTTGTTAACTAATTTTCAATAAAATATAATATTAATATTTCGATAGAAAAAAGTAATGTTTTAGGTAACACTTTACCGAAAATATTAAACATTTTAAGTAGCGCTTAATATTAATATTTTCGGTAAAAAAAATAATGTATTAGATAATATTTTACCAAAAATATTAAAAAAATATATTAACATTTCTTTAGTCGTATATTAAGACTATCGTACATAATATATAAGACATCACCAGTGAACAGTATGAATAATCAAACTGTGTGAGTATAACAATCAAACAGGTTTGGAAACTTAAATCTTACCTCTCGCGTGGGAAATCAAACGAAGATATCCTCGCAACAAGAGGCTAATGAAAAATAATAGTAAAAAAATATGTTTCTTCTCCATCCTAGCTTATTTTTATTGTTCTATTTCAATCAATCATTTTTTCTGATAAAAGAACTCTAGTTAGGACTGACAATACAAATCAACAAATACATCCCTTTCAAGTTTGAACCAAATCTTTAACTGTTATTGGAACGAATTTAAACACCGTCATAATAAAATATTAATAATTCACGTGATTTTACCATTCTCATCGCAATTTTATTTCTTTCCTAGGATGTCCACTAAAAGATGATTCCCCAATTCCTTCGTCCTGAGTATTTCATGGACTAACGTTAGAGAACTTACTGTAATGTTTATGCCTTCGATGAATCTGATCGCATCTCAACAATTCAACTAGATAACAAGACGCACGCCACTTCCCGAAAGAATCTAATCCTCTCGCTTCGCAGCTGCCAGTATTGTTAATAACGCCAAATCAAATTATTAGCTGCTTCAAATGCAGATTAACTGCTGGATGCTGATGAACTCCCTCATTGGATGTGAACTCAAGCATGTTTTTCGTTCAGAGAACAGATGTGAATACCTTAAGCCCAAAAGGGATGCAATTTATGTCTTGTTAGGAGTAAAAGACGGTTTTTTTACTAATCAAGATGCTTTTGCTGTCCTTTTTTATACATAAAAAGCTCTTCACATTCCAATATTTGTTTGTACAGTCGCATTATATTCATGTGTATTCATCAGTTGTATTTCAATAGCTGAAACTCTCAGCTTTTGCTCGATTTCTATGTATAATAAGCCTTAAGAGCTACGCAATGTACAGTTTTCTTTTTTCGATACAAGGTAAGCAACAACATTGTTTTCGTACAGTTCTTACCTGTCTAAGAAGATAGGTAGAAGAACCGTGGCCATTAGATATTATGTGGAAGACGAAAGCAAGAGGGGAAAGCTTCACGCAGATTCTGTTAGCTGTACAAACATGTCCCTATACCGACTTAAGACGGGTGCAGAGACTGGGCAGCAATTCTCCTTTCTGAAAATAATGCAAAATCAATGTTAAAAGACTTCGACGTATGTAAGCCAACATTGGAAAAAAAGAGAGTTGGTAACTTTTGTATCGAAGTTGCTATACTAATAAACTCATTTACGCCATACATGAACAGAGTCATAAATATAAACTGATTAGTAATCACGAATGACAAGGAAGAATCAGCACCTCCAGCAGCAACCAGTTTCTCTACACGTGCAACAATATGCTTCCCGTAAGTGTACTTCTTCAATGAGTTTAAATGGACCTTAATTCGAGAAAGGATCAACGCCCGTTGCTGGTCATCACAAGTCTCTAGCACTTTCTGTACAACGTAATTCGCAAACTGATCTTTCATCATTGCCTGGAATGCACAAATAGCTCAGTAATGATGTGAAATGGATACCATGAAATTCTACAGGAACAATCTCCATAGAAAATTAACAAAAGCTAAAACCTGAGCACAATGCAATCAATCTAATATATATATATATATATATATGCCATCCACGTGATATGTAGAATTTTAAGAGTTTTCTTAAACTTTATTAACATTCCATACGTGTATGAATGTTGACCCCAAAAATGCACCTAAATTATTATATGAATGTATGCACAGATTCTCACCAACAAAAATGATCGCCAAATTACAGATAAAGGCATCGTGGTTCATGGCTTTTCTCCATTGATGCAAAGAAAGGTGAAGTTATCTTTGGCATTTTTCTTTTCAAACACGGAAGACTTGAAACCGGATAGTATTTCTATTCCCGAAATATCTGCAGAAAAAGACGAACCTGAAGGGGCTCATTCTCATCAGTAGAACCAAGCATTTCATTCACCAATAGCTGACGCTCAGCAGGACCACAAAAAATTAAGCACTTCTCGACAACATTAGATGCAAACTTCTGCTGACTCATACGAACAATCTTTCCAGCTAGCTCCTCAATTATGATTGAGCGCTCATGGGGTTTTCCATGCTCCAGTACATGCTGTAGAGGTCAGTTAATGCATCAATTAGTACAATGAATACCATTGAGATGTTCAGATATAAATCAACAAATTTCAAGGATACACTGTAAAAAGTAAGCAAATACAATTGTGGACAGTATTTTAATAGACATGAATGCAAAAAAGTGAAGACCCAGAGCAGATTCAGTAGATTACTTTTGTCCCAACAGATCCAAAAAAGAATGACAAACCTGGACAACATAATTGCCATACTGGTCTTGTGCCAACAGACTGACGGATCCTAAAATCTCACCCATAACCTTACTTTGTGTTTTTGGGTCCTTGCAGTGCTCCAATATTCTCTGCACAAGTAGTAGAAATAATAATGCAGAACACACATTGCTCGTTTACATGAAGCAGTTCTAGTGGTCTATATATAATAATAATAATAATAATATACAAGTACTGAACCTGTATAACTCGGCACCCATATGGATGAGTGGAAAGTGTCACAACTTGATCAAAAAATGCGGTGACTATAAATTGAATGTTTTCCTCCGGAACACATTCAATACATTTCTGGACCACATGGTTGCCATTTTGATCTCGTACACACCGCATAACACTACCATCAAGCTCATGAACCATGCTAATCTTCTGATCCAGATCGACAACCTCTATGGCCTTGAATATTAAACAAAGTATATACATAATTGTCAGAATGTTGGGTGGTATTCTTCGTGTAATAGCATGAATGCTTTTAGGAAATCCATATAAAAACCAGGAAAGGTGATAACAAAGCTAAGCACAATTACTGTGATTGAAGCACAGTTAGCACATATTTACAAAAGTAAACATTAGGACATATAGAATTTTTATATAAAATGGTTAGCATAGCTTAACCTCGTGGACTTTTTAATTTAATCAATTACAAAATTGGGCTGATCTTTTTTAGAATGAAACAGCAAAACAATTGTGAGGAAGCTTGTTCAATGAAAAGAATCAACAGAAGAAGTTCAACATGCCACTCAATGATTAGGAAATAAAGTGTTGAAGAATAGCAATCATATACCTTTTGAATCACTCGACAACCATACATTTGAAGACTGAGTGTTAAAACATGACCTAAAAGCTTGCAACCAATTTCTCTTCTCTGAGCTGGAAGTCCATGTTCAAAAAACTGTAGGTAGATACAAATTTACAAGGTAAATAAAGCATTAAATTATACAACTAAGCAGATGTATAATGGATTAAGAAGTGGATACCTTTTGAATGACATAATTACCGAACACGTCAGTCATCAAAGCAAGAGCTTGAGGCATGATTTCCTCATAAACCATATTTATCTCTTCAGTTGTAGCTGTTTCAAGTTTTTGCTGAATAAAACGGCTGCCATACTGATCCACACTACTCATAAGAAGAATCAAAATGTCAGTGACAATATGCAACATAAAACATGATTTAAGGTAAGAACAAACCTGAAGTCAACAACATGACCTGCAATTTCTGAAAGTTCAGAACATTTAGTTTTATTACTCTTAAACTCTTCAAGTAGGGAGGAGGTGAGGCTCTCGGCCAGGTTATATCCTGCATATCCCGTGACACTCCCAGCAAGATTCCTCGTCCCAGAAGGAAACCGCATATTCAGGTCACTGTGTCTGATGGAACTACCAAGTCCAACTTGAGAGTTTGGAATACTATTATTTGCTAAGGGACTTCCAGGATATGCCATTGCAGCTCCAAAGGTGGAATTTCCATAAAAACCATGAAGATTAGAACTACCAGATTTAGCACCCAATGGAACACCATACTGAGATTTCTGTGGTGATAGCAAAGACCCGATATATGCCTTTTGCAGCTCAAGCAAGTTCATGTAGGAGTCGCCAAGGAAGTTCCTATCAATAGAGGGATCATTAAAAGGTGCAAGATGTGCTGCAGCACAATCAGATGTCCTCAAATACTGAAGATACATAGGATCAACATAAGCTGCTGGCAGAGCATTCCCAGCTATTTGGCCTCCAACTCTACCAAGATTATGCGACTCAGATGCAGCACTTGAAATGTTCCTTCCAGAACCCAAGCCTCCCCCAAACA